GATGGAAAAAAATTTCTTCGCACGATGACATTTGACCCTTGGCCACCACCGAATCGAACATCGAACTTCACTAACACTTCGTACACCGTCGTTGAAAAATGTTGGAAAACCTTTAGAAAGTTAAAAAAGAAAAAAAAAAAAANNAAAAAAAAAATTACCAAACGTCTCGTTTCAAGAAATACTTATTATATTTCCTAAAAAAAAAAGAGAAAAAAAAATTCAATTCAGTTTCATCTCGTTTCATTATAAAAAAAAAAAAAGAACTTCTTCTATCATTTCGCCTTATTCATTCGAATAAAAGTGACAGAAAGAAGGAAAGAATAAGTGAAGGGGGGGAAAGAAGAGAAAAATAAGAACATCGTTATCGTTAGATCGAAGAGATTAATCGATAGAAACCTTATCCTATAAGAAACTATGAATCGTGCGAAGAAAGGCCAGTCGGTGTTTAATGTTGAGCGTGTTTCTTTCGTTATCAGAGTCACGTTTTCTGATTCTTCCCCACCCCCACCCAGAGGCGGCGGTCCCTCAGACTCGCTCAGACACAGCCGCAGCCTCGTTTCCTCTACCAACGTGTACACATACCACTTCTCTCGGTTCCACTCGAGCCTCTTGCTCGCTCTCTCGAGGGATGCTGTGGCGAGCTGGTGGGGATCTGAATGCGATAGGGGTTGCTCCGCCCGTGGGCCAACCAGAGGTCTCGATGGAAGCGGCTCCGCCACACCCCGTGGATCGTCCCTGGCTTCCCTCGGGAACCCTCGTTGTGCCATCCTCTTCTCAACAGATTTCGGATCCTCTAGTCTGCCAAGAGCCAGCTGACACGGAGCAGCGCTCTTCACAGCGTTTCTTATTTCGCTCGCCGCGTCTTCTCTCCGTGCCAGCACGCCTTCCCGGAACGCCGCCGTTCTTCCACGTCGAGCTTACCCCCTGCGACCATCTCAACCCCCCGCCGCCCTAACTCGTGCGCCTACATTCCTCCTCTGCCCTTTTCTAAAACACCCATCATCATGCGTATCGATCGGTCGATCGTGCACGAGATTTTCCTACGAACAATTCCCGTGATTTTTATCATCTCGATTATTGGATCGTGTCATTGACGTTGTGTCATCGTGAGACTGTTCAGTGACAGGCATGTGTGTTCACGACAGACAGTGATCTCTTTTTCTTTTCTTTTCTTTTCTTTTCTTTTTTTTTTTTCCTTTTCTTTCGATAAACGTTCCAACGCTCCAACTGATCGATCTGGAAACGAAACGATCGACGAGTAATGAACGGTCTCGATTTGTCCCGGCCCACGCTCGACTACAAGATGAACGGTAAGTTTTCGATAGTTTACGGATTATGTAAAAGATAAGAGAATATATACGGAGTAAATAATAATACGGATCTTTACTTTACTCCTCGGTGTGAAGGTGTGTCGCCTCGATTCAATATCGCGGAAAGCAAACGCGGAGTTTGACTTGCGGTTCCTGCATGGATGAAGCGAAGGTGAAGTGGCTCGATAAAACGAGACTGTTTACACATTGTGAGATATAAGAAAATTTGTATTCATTTTGCGCGTCTATTTTCGTCGTTTCACGATTAGATAGAATCGCTCAATCTATCGATCATTGATTCGCCTCATTCGGAAAGATAACGGCGCGATACGATTGTGCTTGACGAAATATTATTCGATTTTTCTTTTCTTTTTTTTTTTTTTTTTTTTGCGGCCTGCTCCGACGAGATGTCAAGTTTTTTTTTTATTCCAACAAAGGAGCGAAAGGAAAAAAAAAAAAAAAAAAAAAGGTTATATCTATCGACAGGAGGAAACTGAACCGCAGACTGTCCGGAAGCTTGCCTGCAGAGATTCGTTCTAATTTGATTTCTCCATCATCTGGTAATTTCCAGACAAGTATTCGTAATTATTTTTATTACCAGAGACAACGATTCTTAATCCATTTAAAATCTCTTCCATCCATCGATAATTTAATTAATAATCTTTCTTCATCGAGTCATCAAGTTTCTCGATGATGATCGAGGAGTGGAGGGAAGCGTTGTTGATTCGTTTGATTTGTTTTCGCTTACGATATAATAAGCGCTAATGGGATCGTGTTCCTTTTCCATCAGGATCCCCGTATCGCCAGGACATCCTGTGCGGTCACAGCAATGCGATCTACGCTCGTGCGAATACATTCCGTACGATGCAATCGCTCTTCCGAGCAACCCGTTCCTCTCGCCTGCCAATTTGCTTAATTATCTTTTTCCGGGATTCGTCGTCGAATATCTTCAACGACCGTTGGCTAGTTTCTTATTTTCGCGCGTACGACGCGCTCGTCAAGAGTTTCATACGTGATTTTCGTATACGTGATTCAAGAGAGACAATTTGTGGTGGCATCGATCATCATCGGGTACGACAGTTTGTCAAACTTGTTTGCTTTGAAAGTAATTTTTAACTCGTCGATCCGTTTTCACTTTTAACAATGGAATAATACGAACGAATGATTTCTAATTTTCTTCTCTCTCTCGAATTCGTTTATCTTTTTTAGAAAGATAAAGATATTAAATAGGAAGGGGGAAGCTGGATCGAAAAAGATATCTTGATATCATCGGTATAATAATAGTAGATTTTCCCGAGCACCGTGAGTTTACCAAGTTTAATCGAAAAACGAAAACCTGTGTTCGACTAAATCGAAAAAAAAAAAAAAAAGAAAGAAAAGGAAAAAAAAGAGGACAAGGAGAGGAAAGAGAAAAAAGAAGTGAACCAGTCTTCCCACGAACAATTTTCGATTCTCTAAGCCGTGGCAAAGCGGCACTTTACTCTCTAATCGGGTTGGAAGCCTCTCGAGCCGCTATCATCGTGGATAATATCGTGTATGGCCGAACAAGTACTCTGTCAAGGGAAAAAGTGCTCGAGTACTCGTGTCCCACAGGAGTCAAAGACCCCTGGTGACGTCAAGAGTTTTCCAAATATTATTGTTGCATCGTATCGACTGGTAGCGCAAGAGACGTGTACGTCGACCCTCCTCCCTAAGTCCTCGCACAGATCTCTTCTTTACGATCGTCCACGGAAACCGAAGGAATCCACGAAATCGTGTTTGCTCTATCGATCAGGCCGGATTTCGATTTACGTCGATCCACCGATCCATCCCTTATACCCCTCGAAAGCCTCTCGTATCTTTACGATTATTTCGCCTCGAGGCAAGCGAGAAAGATTATGTTATGGATTCTCCTCCACGCTCTATAATTTTCTGCTTAGAAACAACACACGCGTCCCTGATATCTCTCTCAAAGTATTAAAGCCCGCCACTGAGTTTCGTGTCGATCGAGCCAACACGCAGGATCATCGTTTCCTTTTTTTTTTCTTCTCTCTCTTTTTTTTTTACGACTCTGGCTAACGTAACGTAACGTAACGTAACGTAGTTGGAATCCTTGATCCGATGTGTCGACGCTATCGAACGGAATCGAAGCTCTCGTAAAACGAACGTAAACGTTAATCTCGATCGAACGAAATTTCTAAACCGGATCCCCGGCTCTGTGTAAATCGTTGTCGCGAGTTTAATCCAACCTGGACGAAGATAAATTTCATCCAGCAATGAGATCGTAAAGGCGCGACACCGAGATATGATTCGTCAAAGCCTGGAGGATACACCTGCAACACGTTGTCGGCAATTCGCTTAGACGATGGATTCATCGCATCGCTTGTATATAAAACCCCCTGTTTGCAGAGGATCGTCGCAGGTCCCTCCGTGTCATTCCTGTACACGCCCGGTTCACAGTTTGTTCTCAGATAGTTCTCCATAGAACGGAGATGGAGATATCTCTCGATTCGAAGATAAGTATCGGGTATCCATCCCTCTCGTATCCGGTCCCGGAGTTATACAAATAAATCCAGATTCGACGTGTCCTCGCGTGGATAGGAGGGGATGGACTGGAATGGAGAGTGAGGGAAGGAGAGGAAGGTGTCGCGTGTGAAGATAAGAGGGAGATGATCGGTTCGCGAGAATCTGCGAGAGAATAAAAGCGCTCCAAAAAAAGTGAGTGTCGCGATTCTGTTGGGTTAGGTTAGGTTCTCTCTCTCTCTCTCTCTTTTTTTTATTTTTTTACGTAACAACATCACCACGAGGCCGTTTCACGGTGTATCAAAAGCCGGGCCTGTAGGGGGAACAATGAAATTCCTGGCTTATCGCGTCAAACATCCTTGACTCTCGGGTGTCGCATCTCACACTCGAGACTCTCTGAGAAAACGAGCGACGGATAGAGGAGATAGCGCGTCGCTCGATCGCCACTTGTCCTTGTGTGTCTAGGATCTCGTTCGGTTTGGCAAAGGGGACGGAGAAATTTACTGCTTCTCGGAATTATATTTCCTCTTCATTTCTTACCTACTCTTTGATAATCGATTTTGGTGATATATATATATAAGATATGGTTTATAATTTTTGTTTTATAATTTTATAATTTTAATCTTCTTCGATATTTTGGAGGTTAAATTAAATTTATCATTCAATCGTGACTCGGCGCGTTTGAAAAAAATTGTCGACCGTTTTTCTCGAGCCTATAAATCTCACTTTCAAATTTTATCTAGGTCGAAACTCAACCGTTTGCGACCCTTCCTTGACAATGTGACCTCCACCACTGGTGAGCACCCACCCAGTGGTACAACTTCGATCATCATCCTAAGAGAAAAAGGAAGAAAATTATTTCCACGAAAATGATCACCATTTCAAAATCCCAAAATGAATCTTTTAAAAAAAGGAAAAACTTCACCGGCAAAATTGAATTTATTATACACGTGTATTCCAATTTTCTCGAATCATCTCGTAAACGTAGGCGTTCCGACCTTTCGATTTCCCACCGATATTCGACGGGAAACGAGCGTGGGTCGAGGATCGATTTCCACGCTTTTAATCTTCCTCCGCGAACCTTTTTTTTTTTTTTTTTCTTTTTTCTACCCTTTGACTCGAACGCACTTTTATTAAAAATATAGGAATTTGATTCATTTCCATAATTCTCGTTGGGCATTGTTTCAGGAAGCAGCGACGAAGGCGAGTCGACGTCGGGCACGCCAGCCGGAGGAGGCACGGGGGGTAGCGGGGAGAACCAGGAAATGGATGAGAACGGTACGATCCGTGGCGGAAGCAACAATTCCGCCAGCAATCTGGTGTACAGGGATCTGAAGACCCTTCACCCATCTAGCCACGACGTGTCCTCCCAGGATTACAATCCGCAATCGAGGCCGTATCAGCGTGGCTACTCGCCAGCCATGGACAAGCCGAGTTACGAGAAGGAGCAGCACAGACCGCCCTCGTCCAGGGACCCCGAGGAGAAACCTTCCTCGTGGGAGTACGGGGAGAAAACCGAGAGAAAGGAGTACTCGAGATCGCGGGAAAGCCTGTACAGGAGCGAAGCGTATCGTGAGTGAAGGAATTTCCATTTTTTTTTTCCCCCCACCCCTCGCTTCGCAATTTTTTTTCCCTTCTGAACCACGTGAACTGTGCCACTGTGTTTGAACTGTCGTGACAGCTAAAATTGACACTCGATCGCGTATAATATTAGAATACTGGGTCAATCGTTGCTCAATGTTACGAATTACGGGGTAAATTATCGGAGGCGGGGGGAGGGGGACGTGGGAACGTTGGTTCGTTAATCGTTCAGACGTGTGGATTAGAATAATAGGTTATACACCGTTCTAACCTGGTATGAACGATCATCGATTGGATTTAATCTCGTAAATTGCTCTTCCCTCTTACCTCCTTTTTTTTTTCTTTTTCTTTTTCTATTTAACGATCACCTTCGTTTATCGCGTTAGAAAAGAAATTTCTGTCCGAGATGTGACGATTTGCTGATCGGTTCTTTTTTTTTTTTTTTTTTTTGTTTCCTCTCCTTCTTTGCAGAGGACGCGACGAAGCAGGAGCAGAAGGAGCACGCGAACCGCGAATGGGTATCACCGGTGCCGGAAGTGGAGGTGGGCGGCTCGGCGCCGGGCGGACCTCAGGTACGAGCGCGCAAGGACATTCCAAGGGGCGCCAGATTCGGCCCTTTCCTCGGCAAATGGGCCAGCGAGCCTTTCAACCCCCGTTACGCGTGGGAGGTGAGTTGTTATCCTCCTCCTTACGTCGCTTCCGTTTGAATGGGATTTTGTTGATTCGTGATGAAAGCGGTGGATAGATTGATAAATATCGTCTGTCGTGAATTTTATAGTTTATTTTGTAGAGAAATCGTTGCTCTTATTGTCATTAACATTCAACATCAACATCATTTTGAGTTTTGAAACTGAGTTTTGAAGTTCAGATCCTGAATTTAAGAAAAATTTTAGCCTAATTTTATACTTATATTATTCCACGACTTTGGGAGTATAAATATAAATAGGAAAATTATAAATAACTCCGTTTGAATTTTCTTGATTCCTGAAAGCGGGGATAGATTGATAAATATCGTCTGTCGTGAATTTTATAGTTTATTTTGTAGAGAAATCGTTGCTCTTATTGTCATTAACATTCATTGGTTTTGAGTTTTGAAACAAGTTCAGATCCTGAGTTTGAGAAAAATTTTATACTTATATTATTCTACGACTTTGGGAGTATAAATATAAAGAGGAAAATTACAAAAAACTCCGTTTGAATTTTCTTGATTCCTGAAAGCGGGGAATCGTGAATAGATTGATAAATATCGTCTGTCGTGAATTTTATAGTTTATTTTGTAGAGGGATCGTTGCTCTTATTATTATTATTATTAACATTTGTTTTGAATTTTGAGATGTTTGAAGAAAAATAGCTAGTTTTAAACTAATATTATTCCACGACTTTGGGAGTATAAATACAAATAGGAAAATTATAAATAACGATTGAAAATGAATGATTTAGTGCAGATCAAGAGATCCTCGCTGAAAAATTTCTGGCCTGAACGTTCAACGTAAATATCTATCCTAATTTTGGATATTTATATTCCATCGTGGAGATGGAAGACGCGGGGATTTTCCGCGAAATTGAGGGATTCACATGCGATATCATCTCGCAGGGGGGTTCTCGTGGAACCGTTTGAAAGATGATCGATCTGTTTATGGTTCCGGGATCCGGTGGAGGAATACTTTTGCCCGAAACCAGTGTCAGTGGGCTCGCTATCCTTCTGCTATAATCCCGGGTATTATCCGGCAGATGCCGAAGGACAGGAGAACGAGGAAGAGAGAGGAAGATAGGGGAGAGGAGAAAGGGAGGAACAGACAGAGAGTCGTCTCTTCGGTTGGAAAGGTAGACACCTGGTCGGCTCGTTCGTCGAAGGTGTCATCCATGTTGACAGATCTGTCAATTGGCTCGCCTCGGACAATTTCCCTCCCGATTCCTTTCCAATTTTCCGATCCTCAAATTCTTTCGAAGCCGAGATGAACATCTCCGTTCTGCTTCTTCAACTCGACCGTGAAATCGGTACACCGAGTCAAAATCGAAGAAACAGTCCGTAAAATTCTCCGTTCACGCGATTTCTTTCTATTAGAGATTAAAACCATCTCCGAACTCTATATATTTTGTTTGCAATAATCTTTTAAAGTCGAAATCTATCACATTTCTCATTTTTCCTATCAATACGAATCGTCTTCGAATTCTATTCCCAATGATAAATCGTTCAACGGATTCAAAATCCGTTCGTTATTTCCAGTCAAAGATAACTCGTGCCTTCTAAATTCTATGAACGATCGTATGGAAGATTATTCATCCTCGAGATGGAAATTTCGATTTAAAAAAAAAATCTTGCTCTGCCTGCACCCTCGCGGAAAAATGATTCTGAAACGATATTACGGGATACGGGCGCAGCGGAATCGGGAACCAGGCGTGTACCGGTCCAGAGGGTGTGATAGATATGATAGCGGCAACGTTACGTTACGTTAGCGCATGTCGCACTGACAAAATGTAAATGGCGCCATCCATCTAACTGCCGACAAAAAGGCAGCCGGGGCCAACTGTCGGACCGGCGATTACAGGATCGATTAAAGCCAAACTACCCCTTCGTTTCGTCGGCCCGATCTATCAACCCCACGCGCGTAAACGTGCGAGAGTACGAAAACATCGCGACAGAGAGATCTCTCTTGCCTCCGAGTTCTCACACAATTTCGAATAATGTTCCCTTCCAATTCTGGGACTCGGTTGGAGTTAAGGGGAAGATCGATCGAGAAGAATTTCAGGTATTTCCACTTCTCGTTTCGTTATTTGTAAAATAACCGGGAAATATACGGTATATATATATATACACAGTACAGTTGGTAACGAACCTATCGAACGGTTAACAAACACGATCCTTTTTCTGAAATTGGAGAAATCTAGGAGGGATCCCTTTCGATCGATTCGCACGCTATCCCCTAATCCTAATCCTTTTCTCACATTCTCGGGGAAAGGCGTTCCTCGAATGGAAAAGGGGGAGAGATAGGGAAGATGGAAACTGGATTAGTGATAAACTATCAACGGGCTTCGATATTTCACTTCGTTCTATCTTCGAACGATAAATAGAACAAGAGAAAGAATAAAAAAAGAAAAAAAGAAATATTAAAGAGACTCGAAGAAGATTTCGTTTTATATCACAGAATGTGAAGAATATAAAAAAAAAGAAACAGACCTCAAACCGAAATTTTTCCCCAAATTTCGTGAACACCTCGTTCGTTACGTACCGTGCACACATACACACACACCTGAAGCGGAACGAAGGGAAGGTCGTGGTATCGAGGGTTGTTGTTCGAGGTATCGGTGGTACCCCACCTGCCACGCTGGCCGAGTCTCGTTTCTCGGATCCACCCGAATCCGGGGACGGGAAGTGGAAAACCGAAGGAAACCGAAGGGGCGATCTATTCTTTCCGGTTGCGTTTTGCTCGGTGACGCGTGATCCGCAGAACGGCCGACTCGCGGCGTGCCTTAGTGGCAACTAAACCAATCTTAGGCTTAGCTCGCTCGGCCGTGAGACCCTCGTGTCGAGGGGTACGGCTCCAATTTACCGAATGATCTCGAGAACCCGCCTTAAATGATCAATCCTGTCGCGTTTATTGCATCGCGCTCTCTTGTCTCCCCGAATCTCGGAAGGCGCGATGTCGATTTAATTAATCTCGAATAAAAGGATGTTCCTTTATTTCACATCGAACCGTATCCCATATATTAATCCAACTTTCTATGCTTTGCAACCCATCTATGATGTATTTCCATATGGGACACGAGGAGGGTTCCACAGAATCCACCCCCGTCGGGGGCCACGTTTGCCCTCTTTTTCCCCGTGCAACTCGCTCATCGACATATTGGAAGCATCGTCAATTTTTCCACGTGATCGCTGACGGCCCCACTCGCCCTCTCTCGAGCACGAACGAGTGCACGAGTGTACGAGCGCCGGCTGGTCTCTCTTTTTCGAGCGGCCACGAGGGAGAGGAGATATATATATATATATATAGAGAAAGAGAGAGAGAAAAGAGCGGAAGATCGGTTGTTTTTCATATCGAAGCAGGCACCACGCGCCTCGTTGAACCTCGTTGCGGGCCACTTTTTCGACAAATCGGGTGGAAAGCTGCGCCATTAGCTGCGCGTATGTCGCTGACAAATCATATAAATGACGACTCTCGACGAAACGTGTCCTAGCCGCGGACCGCAGCGACCCGACCAACCCCGATGCCCCCGTAATCAGACAAATTGTGACGCGAACCGCGAACAGAGGAGGAATCCCGCGTGCCTCCCACCCCTCCCCTCCCCATTCTCCACGCCGAGAACCGTTTTCCAAAAAAAAAAAAAAAAAGGAAAAAAAAAAAAGACGTTACTCGATCGTCGCCGCCTCTCGACCCTTCTCGAATTCGCTTCGAGAAGAGGCGATCCTCATCGAGATAACAATGTCCTCGCTGAATACCCTTGCCCTTCCTCGCGCACGCCTACCACTTAACCACCTCGGCGAAAAGCATCGACCAGGATGAAAGAATTCGCCTCCCTATGTAGGTGGTGCCGACGGAATCTTATTGTGGATGTTATTAAATTCTCGCTCGATCTCGAAACCACGTATTCCGTAGACAATCGACGTGTCCGGCACAATGGCACGGGAACGGCACTGCCCTATTATTCGTGGACATTGTCCAGGTGAACTGGCCCTTACTTGGGCGTTGCAGGAGGTCAAGCCCCGGAAGTGATTCGACAATGAGCCACATTATGCTCAACCCTCTTCCCTCCATCTTCTCTTCCTCTCGATCCTTACGTCGACTCGGCCGCGTTTTCCATCTTCCGCTTTCAATTCACGAATCCAATTCGTGAACCATCTCTCCTGCACGCGAATCTCGGGGGCACGTAGGAAAGGTGGCACGGCGACCTTCGCTTTCTCAAGGCGTAGAGTTACCCGATGATTTTCGTCGCATTTGAATATGAAATTGGAGAAAGAGACGGCGCGGAGGGAAATGTTTCGTGGGGGAAACAAGTGACAATCAGCGGCGCGGGGAATATGCGGGGCATTGTGAGGCCGGTCGGGATCCGAGGAGCCCCCCTCGGCAGGTCGGTGGTCATCTATGCGAATTTACCGGTCGTGACGAACGAACGGGGTGGCTCGGCCGTGTAAACGCGAAATTTCGCACCCCTCGCATGGGGTAGAGCGCTTTTTCTTCGAGGAAAAGGGGTAGCGCAGTTTGCTCGAGAGCGGACGAACACTTGTACACTTTTTTCCCTCGAATTTTTCGTTCCTTGCAACGAAACGAGCGAACAAAGTGCGATGAGTCTTGGAAATGGGGCGACGAGAAGGAGAAAACCGTGTATGCATGATGCATGCACGGTTACACGTTGGCCTAAAATGCGAGGGACCATTTTGGCTAACTAGCCCTTTTCTCGGGGATCGAGTTTTTGATTGATGGGATTGGCCCAGGCTGCACCTTCTCCTATTATGTTAATAAAGCTATGATACAACTTGGCACGGTTTGAATAGCTAACGTGTGTATTTTGACATTTAAATTTACCGGCAACGAGTTTCTGTCCCGCCCCATACGTTGATACGTTGACTTAATTCGGTTTTATTGAAAAGTTGTGAAGGTGCTCACAAATTGCTCACAAATTTTGCGAAAGGAATTCGATTAATTATTTCTTCGTATGGGTTCAATGC